AATGATTGAAAAGAGTATGTCTTGTTGATTTGCAAGCTTCGTTAATGTGACTTTATGCGTCTAATTCGCCCACTGCAATATGGGGATGAGAAAAACACCAAGATATTTTTACACATTATCTTTTTTTTTAAATACCAACAGTTTAAAGACTTAAGTCTACCATCTTTTCTGAACAATATAACTTTAGACTCTTTGAGGTTCACCGTCACAGAAAGCTTCACTTTTATATCTTTTCGGAGGCCATGCTTTGATTCTTACATTATAACTCTGTTTACGTTGCCTATTCTCGCGACACTAAAGAACGTAACGGAAAGTCGTCGAGGAACGTGGCGAACAAAATCGGTCTTAGCAGGCAACCTTGCCTAATTCCACAACGAACGTCAAAATTTTCTGAGAGCCTTTTTCTCTCGAACGCTAAACATTGACTGAGAAAAGCGATTTCATTAAAGTTAACATTTTGGACGAAAAGCTCAAGTTATTACGTTTCAGAAAAGACCTCGACGATTGACACTATCAAAGCTTTCATATTCACTTAGAAGCAATCAGTTTTTTGTTTAGGGTGGCCAACTTAGTATGTTCGACAGGACAAATGGGTTATCAATTGTCGAATAACCTTTTCAAAACCCATCTGATAATCGGAAAAAATCCAACATTGCGTACTAGAAATACACATGTATAATTCGCCTCTCGTGTGTTTTTTCCTCAGTTTTTCAATATGTCGGATAAAACAACGGCAGAGGACATTAACAGGGTGAATTCTTGATAAAGGACGTGTTATTGTAAAAAGGGTTCAATTCAAATCGAACGAAATGACGGCATTAAAATGCGATTCTTCATATCATTCCGCCGTTGCAAATGTACCTTATTCGACTGGTGGAAGCTAATTAGCGGATTGCATTCATATTGGGGCTGTCAACCTGTGGCAGACATCGGATTAAATCCTGTCAGCAGAATTAATGCATTAACGAATCAAATTCATCCCCGGGTGACGAGCTCGCGAAACATTCGTTACTCAATTTGTTTTTGTTTCCGACGTGGGCCAATCGGGAAAATGCCGTCGATGAGTTATGCTACATTAGCGATGGCGTTCTATCCCTTTATTAGAAATTAACGTGGTTAATTATTTTTTTTAGTCTGGTTAAACCACTCTCTGGTTTTTGTTGTTTTCAAATGCAAATTAAGGCAATTTGAATAAATAAATAGAACTTTTTTGGAAATTGGTTTAATTTTCACTTTCAGCTTAGAACTGTATTTCTGTTCAGTTCTATATTTTTAATTACCTCTCTACTGTTGTTAAGGAAGGTTTTTTTAAATTAAAGAATTTTTTCATTTAACTGACCGGTTTCGAATTTTGATCATCATCGCATAACACTGCCTCATCTCATTGTTTCGGTGTTGTCTCAACTATCCTGCCACTATGATGTAGATGTCTGTCAAATACAGATACTGTTAATGAACTCCTGCTAATTGAAAGAATCGAACTGCAGACTCTCTTATACTTTTATATCCACCATAGATATAAAACACTGAAGAGACTACTTGACGAAAAATCAAAACTGACATTATTTAACAAAAAACGTTTCTCCCCAATGTACCTACGGTCTTGAACTATACGGGGACATCCAAGCGTTCCAATCACTACAGTCCAAAATCATTGAGACGTTCGTTCTCATCTTCACTCATAGATGTTGAGTCCCATGAGAAACTTTGACGTCCGGACTTACCCCCGAAGGGACTTCTAAGACGCCTAATGTTCTATAAGAAAACACCAAGAAGATTTTACATGCACGGACTTGCCACATTCCTTGACTAGCGAGGTAGTGCATTGCTAGGCAAGTTCAGAAGTGCTCTTAAAGGAACACATCCATGCATCTGCCCTAAAAAAGGCAGTGTTGTGGTTCTGGCACAGCTTTTCAGCCGTGGCTTTCATCACCCCCGAGAGATAGAGAAGACACTCTATCGCTAGCTAGCCAGTACCCTCCAGCTAAGGTACAAGCTTCCCTTATCTTACAAAACCGCGTGTCAACAATTGACAAACCGAACAATCTGTGAAAAATAAAGTTTACAGAAATACAGGTACTTTTACACGTCAAATGTAACAAAAAGGTTCGTATGAATCATGGTCCGATCCTCAACACTTTCGCAGATATCCAACATTTTATTTCTTTATCCATTTATATATTTAGAAACTGTGTAAATTATTTTTATTGACTAAATTAATATAACTATAATAATCTAAGGTCTTGGTTGAGATGAAAACGCAAGTATCCCGCGCGTGACACTTGCTTTTCATCTCAACCAAGAACATAAATTAAAAATATGATTTTCACAACTATTTTCGGTTTTCATCATAAATCTACTCATACCTCTTGAGCTATTCATTTTTGGGGAAATCCACCTCAAAATAAAAATAAAATAAATAAAATTGAAAAGAGAGTGTGGGCACTCTCAACACGACACGCAAGGATGGCACAATACACAGAAGACAAACACTTTGAGCCCTGAAGATGATCTCAATAAAAGATCGAAACGTTGGCACGATAAAGAAAATGTTTTTCTGAAACCTACATCACACCCGACCGCATCTCACGATATCTGAATAACTTTCAAAAATTACTAAATTTAACATTTGTAACCTTGTTGGAAACATTCACGTTAGAGCTTATCAAATTTCATAACATCTTCGTCATTTAATAAGCTTTCTAATTTAATTTTATGCAATTCGGGAAAAATTACGAAGGTTTGAAAAACAGGAGGTTACGCTAGTAATTCTATTTTTTGTCCTGTGCAAAATTTATGTCCAATTTTAACTTAATATAAAGCGCAAAAAGAAAGAAAAATTAAACAAAACACAAGAAAAAGAAACCAAAAACATAGCGAAAACGAAAGCAGAAAAAGTGGAGAAAATGTCTGAATTAAAAGATTTATAGTCTTATGTTAGTTTATGTTTTTACCAAAATTAAGTAGAAAATTCTAGAAAGGTGCCTTCTTATAGGAAATTTAATGCTTTTTTTCGAAGCGTTTTTGAATTTCCCCCAAAATGAAAACTCAAGAGCTGTGAGTAGATTAATGACGAAAATAGATAGTTAAAAAAATATAAAATGTTGAAAGCTGCGAAAGGGTTGAGAATACCATGGTTCATACGAACTTTTTTGTTTAATATGAGGGGTAAAAACACCTGACGAACTTTGTCGTACCCTTGAATTACCCTGTGTATTAACTTTTCTTCAGTATATACAGGGTGTCCTGTGAACTGATATCAATAATGCTGGAGGTTTAAACATTTCAAATTGAACTCAAAAGTTTCCATTGTCCGTACTGCTTCTCGATTGCATTCGAGATATTTCACTTGTCTGGTCACTTCAACCTTTCATTTCTTTATTCCATTAAAGTCCCCCGTATCTCTTAAACTCTTAATTCTACTGTAAATTGATTAAACTAGCAATAAAAAATCATTGACCACCCTAAGGGATTATATTTAATTTTAACCTCAAGCAAGTAAACATAATTGGAAGATAAAATTTTACATTTTACTAGTTTCCAAAGTTCTTATCTAAACTTTAGTTTATTGTGTTTGATATCTAAATTTTACGTGAGCATCATATCGTAGTTTCTTAACTCTATGTCTTATATCAAAAAACTTCGTCCCTGTCCTACGTAGGTGTTGCACATTTCTGAAGATCTTTCCGAAGCTGCTTTGACTAATGTACGCAACATGATGCCTTCTTTTTTTAGGATAAACTTTATTTTGCTCTTATCCTGTCATATATGGGATATAGCAGTAATTTTTTGCATTTACAAGTTTAAAGTTTGTTTCTTTATTTGCGGGTTGTTTTATTTTTTACTTATGAATTGATGCAATATTGCCATTAATTGCTAGGTATTTTATAGTGTTTAGATAGTTATCCAATAGCCATATAAAACCGGCCACTTCGTGGCACCAAAGATACTTTTAGTCATGTTGTATCAGTGTTGTTCCCATTCTTAGCTTTTAGCTCCAAACTAATTTAATAATGCCTAAATTTCCTAATGACCGTGGAGAAAAACAAGATTACCCTCTCACCCATGGGTCGGAGACCACCCTTTAACTGCAGAATGCCTCATAAATTATGTTTTTGAAATCTTATTTCTGTATATTTGTAAAGGTCAGCAATATCAAATGATGCATCCTTTGCTACTGAAAAATCTTTTTTAACTCGTTTTTTTAGTTTTTATTCAAAAATTTATTTTTACTTTATGTTGGTCTAAGATTTTTTAATAAAAAAATTAATTAACACTTTATATCTAGTGGATAAATGTCTGTAGCAATTCGTTAACGTAAGCAGAAACAATTTTATGTGAACCTGCAAAAAAAGTACAAGTGTTACATAAACAAAAGATAAAATGACAAAAGAATGAATAATATTGTTTGATTAAGATCCACTGCCGAGATAATAGCAATCAACGATTAGACGATGAGGGATTTTCTTTTTTGAAATATTTAATTATTGAGCATCGATAAGAAACAATAGGAATTCATAATTTTACCAAACATTTAAAAAAGTAAAATATAATGTATAATAATAGAAAAAAAACATGTTTTGCATAATTGGGACATTACTTTATCGTATTTATTTCACTAGCAGTAAATGCGGATAAAATTTTTATGTAAACTTCATAAAAACATAACTGCAAGTACAACAAACCGATCTACTTATGTCTTCTTCGATCATGGTCCGCCAATTCTCGCGGTTTTGTCAGACGCTTCTTGGCCACCTAACCTTCATTTGCAGAACTTCAAAAAAACAAAAAATTCTTTGACTAAATTTCAATTAAATAACATCAATGCTTGGCGCCAGATACCTTAAACTTTTACATAGAATTCATTAATTTTTTTATTCCGGTAACAAATTGAAATTTTGCTTTTCCTTTTTGGTTTTCCAGATCGCCTTATGTACGAATCGTCATATTAAATTTATTTTATTGTATAACTAAAAAGAAATTTTCTTCTTCTGTTACAGAAAGGTGGGCTGGTGTGGGGCGGGGAGTGCGGGGGGAGCGGCGGAGGAGCCGTCGCGACGAACAGCAGGTGCGGAGGCGGCGCTGCTCCTCAGCAGGGCCAGGGTCTGGTCCACTGGATGTCCGTCATGGCCGAGCACATGAACACCGTCGCACACGACACCCCTCCAGTACACTACATGTGGAACGGTGGAGTCGAGGTAAATATTAACAAATTTTTCACATTTTACACAAGAATACCTGTAGAAATCGTAGAGATATCTGTAAACTATGTCTTTTTTCAAAAACTAGATTAAAGACTAGCCTACCAATGGTAGCAGTATGATACCTTTACCGTAAAGACTTTTGAGTTTGCCTTACATCCCAGCGTGACACATTGTCTCTCACATTACATATCCACGATCTCCCGTCTTCTGTCAAAAGTCTCCCACCTAGTTGAATGTTGTCAACTCTATTGATTTTGAACAAAAACAAACGTGATAGTCAATAAAAATTCATTTCGTGCCCATAACGTACTTTCCACGATTGTCCCTTCGGAGCTTATAGATCAGCACAGATCATGATTAATCGGGGGTTTTGCTAGTTCCTTGTTCATTAGGTACATACCTGGCTAGGAGATATGATTTATTTATTTATCAACACACACACACACACACAGGCAGACACACACGCATACACACACACACACACACACACACATATACACACATAAATATATATATATATATATATCCCTCCCTCTCTCTCCTTCTCTTCTTCTCTTTCTCCTTTTTTTCTCTTATTCTCTTTCTCTTTTTCACTCACTCAACTAGTTTCTCTCTCACTCCGCACATTGACCAAAGTAGCACAAAATTAACACAGTAGTTTGTAGATTTTTGGTCAATTCGTCATTTGATTTATCACAACGGCCGTGTCAATTTTGTCGCGATTTGGATTATAATTATTAGTTGAAATAATAATTTAGTATAGCCTTGGATCAATTGTAATTGTGAGCAAGGTTTGCCATCCGAATTTTAGAATGGGTGAATAAAATGCATTCCACCCCTTTTCACCAGCCACTTGTATTTCGATAATTTTACGACATCTTACAATATAGTCGTACAATTCACTTTTTCTCCTTGGAAGAGGAATAGTAAAAATTTATGCATGCCACTCTCCGTCGTCGTAATTGGATTGGGGGATCTGAGCGCAATCCTGTCAATTTATAGCGTGTCATCTTCCGATTATTTACCAGGGCAGTTTACTTCAACAAAGAGAAGAGAGAAGAAAAAAATACCGCTTTTTTATGCCGCGCACTTAAGGGAAATAGGGAGGATAAAACGCGGAGGACAATTTATTCGAACAGGAGGACATTTGTCTAAATTGACAAATATGACGGAATGAAGGAGGGTGTCGCCCCATAAATGAAGACTAGCATTAACGGCATGTCTTATTTGTTAAACTATTTCAAATTTCTGACACTTTAAGAAGAAAATAAACTTTATTCTGAGACTTAAAGCCGTAATAACAAAACTACATAATAGAGCCATATCTAGACTCGTAGTCAACACAAATACAAAAGAGTTGTTACAAAGTTAAGAAATTGCAAAGATTTATAAGAAAGATAAATAAGATAAGAAATAAATTACAATTTCAAAGTTATAAAATACAATTACAAATATATACAATACATTTCCAAACTCCTAAAAACTTAGCGTACAAAATTAAAAGAGACAATTATGTTTAATAATGCAGATGATTTAATAATAATTTATCAATTGGGGCACCTGGTGCTAAGTTACAATGCCCAGACGGGACTTAAATATGTGAAGGGCGTGGCGGATAGTTCCTAAATAAGAAGACATTTGTAAATGGACTAATTTTTCAGGAAGTTTAGCTAGGATAGAGAGGATAGATCATTAGTGGAGGTCGGATTGCGAAGTTTATTTAGGGTTGATAAAAGCTGGTCTGCGAGTCTGTGAACTCATATTGAACCGGTTGAGGGTCACTTATTGGGTCTATCTCCACTCGCGGGGTTTTGAGTTATTCAGTGTTGAACTAGGAGGTGAACAGGACGTCTTCACTGAAGATGGCGCAATGCCGAAACGCGTTTGAATAACTAAAAAAAAACACGTGTGGAGACAGGTCCCAATAAGAGACCCTATGCCGGTTCAACATGAGTTTATTTAGGGGTTACACAATCGCCTTCTTCTATGATTTTGGAAAAATTGAGTTTTATAGGAAAACTGTATGTAGAAAGACAGTAAGGATTAATGAGTTTTATGGGTATCTCGTCACAACCAACTGCCTCGGTACAAATGTGCATAATGAAAGTGCGTAAAGTGATATATCTAAAAAGAAGAAACTGTAAGAGTCGAATGGACGGCATCTTGGGAAGGAAATAGGGTTGCGGGAACCGGAAGATTGTGAAGTTGTCCTAAGTGGGCATTAAATTATTAAACTGGAATTATTATTTTTAATTGGTTATTTAACTTTTTAATTATGCCTAAAAGCTATACTTGTAAAAAAAAAGTCTTTAACTATAACATTTACAATCATATCACGGGAAATGGAAAATTGTTTATATTTTTCTCAAGCAATTAGATCTCGGGCGATCACAACCCGATGGAAAATTTAAAAACTAATAATTGTAGAAAATAGAACTTTTTTCTTCTTGGGTTTGCGATCGTGTCCAAAATCCTGCCATGTACACTTCGTTTGCGAGAACCTTCACGGTACACTGCTTGTTCAAGTCCGACGTAGTTTATCCCTAGAACGAGAGATGTCGCTAAAGCTACGCATTTTATGGCTAATTAAAATTTATGAGAAAATAGTTTTTTTTTAATTCAATTTTTATATGTAGTTTTGAATAGGTTCTTTTCTAAAAAGAAAAATTTCACAGTAAAGATTAGAAAATAATTATTCGGAAATCGTGAGAGGCAGTCTGGTGTGACGTAGGTTTCAGAAAAAGATTTTCTTTATCGTGCCAACGTTTCGATCTTTATTGAGATCATATTCAGGGCCAGGGCTTTACAAACATTTTTTACATTTAACAAATACATGTAGGATGTGGAAAAAAGTAAATTTATACAATGCAAAAAATATATTTTTTATATTCAATCAAAGTATTTCTATTCACTCAAAGTGTTTGATTGGATATACAAATTTTGGTTTGCATTTTATAAATTCACTTTTTTCCACATCCAACATGTATTTGTTAAATGTAAACAATGTTTGTAAATCCCAGGTCCTGGAGATGATCTCAATAAAGACCGAAACGTTGGCACGATAAAGAAAATGTTTTTTCTGAAACCTACGCACACCAGACCGCACATCTCACGATTTACGAATAATCATCGACTAACGGTTACTAATCACCACACCAAAAAATATAAAACTTTATTAATTATAAAAATGTGCGAAGTTGAGTTTACAATAACGATATTTAGTACGTGTGTACGTCTAGGGTGCTCCTAGGGTCGCTTGGTAACAACTAGAAGACACGTCTTTATTTTATGTAATTTTTTTTCCAAATATTATCAGAAAAATTTTTATTGACATGAGTGACTTGTAATTTAAGTTATATGGGAGATTATTTACTTCAGTAAGAGTACAGTTCAATAGTTACACGAATCTTAAAATTTCTCCTTAAATTAACAAAACTTTGCTTTTTATATTATTATTTTATTTATTTGTAATCTATACATGTTAGTGTATATTAAAAATTTAAATAAAAAGGCTTTTTTACACGGTCACAGCATTAACCCTACTCACGAATACTTCTGTATGGTCTTGATAAAAAATCAAATTAATTTGTTACTGTCAATATTTCGACCTATTTTCAGGTCATCATCAGGGCAAAACAAATTTAAATATGTCTACAAATTGACATAATTAAGTTTTTCACAGATTTCAGATTTAATTGAACCGACTCAGTTCCAACATTTGCAAAGACTAACACTAATACGAGCACTGTATCCGGAGGACAAATACCATGAGAAACCAGCCAATGCTGGCGCTCAGTGTGATGGATTAAAGGGCCAGTAGGCTCGAGGCAATCGTTGATGAAGGGTTCTAGGGATGATAATTTGTATAGAGGGCTCGAGCAGGTTAGGATGGATTGAAAGGTTAGTGTGAAACTTTTGGAATCAGGAGCTCTCAATTATAATGACATAAAATCTAAACGTAGAATAATCCAGCTTTTTAACTGCTGTCATACCATTGGAAATGATAAAATATTTTGGATAAAAAAAGTGTTATGGTCTTTTAAATGAAGAACAACTTATCATCATTCTGTTTTGGTTTTTTTGCACCCTCTGAAGGTGTCATTGTGCCGCTGAGCGCTATAAACCTCAGGAGTATTGCTAGAATCATATGCACAGCAGAATTTTAATTGCGAAGTGAGAAAATTGCCTTCCAGAATAGTGATACAAGTGGGTTCCTTATTTTTCTTATCAGAATTTCAACAAAATCGGTTCAACCGTAATATAGTTATAAACTGTTAGATACTGATTCTCATTAATCGACAAAGCCAAAACGAAATAAACTAAGATTTCTTGGATAAGAGAAACAATAATTATTTTACAAATTGGATTTTTAAATATAATTTATTTAACGTATCGTGTGCGTTTATGATGTTTTAACGTTATAAAATGTTGCAAGATTGGTAGATTGAAAAGATAACCCCAGGAAGCAGGAAGACTCAATTATCGATAACAAAATTAATTCTAACCCAGGGCAGTTCCAGTCTAAATTGCTCTTGACTTGAAAAATTCGGAAGTACAGATGATGAGACCTAAAGATAGAGTTGGAAAAAAGCGAATATGTACGGACCACAACCAGGACTGAGTCGTTAAATTTAATTTCCTTTTCACTCTGAATGTAAATATCATGTGAAATGTTTTGCATTACATTCTCGTAATAAATTTACAAGCTGATAGTGTTAACGACAGTTTTTCACAATTTTTTTTTCAAGAACTTCTTTCAAACGTAATAATACAAAAGACACTAATGTAAGAGCAATGAACTATTAATTGGGGTATTGATCCCTGTATTGACGTTTTTTGTACTGCCTGATCAAGTTTTATACGTCCGATTAAAGAAAATCTATGCATTTTATGTATATTTAAAAAGCTCTATCGGTTTACTAGTATGCTAGCTTTACAACACGGCCGTTAATAAAAAGTGTTATTTTAACACATTATTTTGAATATACATATAA